CTTGGGTAAGTTGCTTAACCGCTCTGTATTTCAGGATAATTGATGAAGAACAGAGGTTTAATTGACTCACCATTGTGCAGGCTGTCCAGGAAGCATAGCAGCATCTGCTTCTGGGGAGGCCTCAGGAAGGCAAAGGGGGAACAGGCAGGTCACATGGGGAAAACAGGAACAAGACAGGGAGAGGGGAAGGGCCACACTTCTAAACCACCAGATCCGTGAAAACTCACTATCATGAGAACAGTACCATGGCGATGACACTAAGCCATTCATGAAAAATCCACCTCCCTCACCTCCCACCAGGCTCCACCTCCAGCACTGGGGATTACAATTCAACATGAGATTTGGATGGGGACACAGATCCAAACCGTATCACCATTCACCGATATTCCATACTTGATCCTACCTCAGGGCTTTCCACTTGCTGTTCCTTCTGCCTGGAATCCTCTTCCCCAGATCTTCCCAGATTCCCTCTCTCCATCTGGGTCTTTGCACAAATGATTCATCCTCAGAGAGGATCTCCTGACTCCTACATAAAATAGCCACCAATCCCCCAGTCACCCTATGTCTCCACCTCACTTTATCTTATTTCACAGCATCTACTAATATCACAAACATTACATTATACATGTTGCGATATGTCCATTGCCCTAAGCTCTGGCCCCTGCAGTGTGGGAATGGCCCAATACAAATGGCAAGAAGGCTCCCATGGCTGAGTGGGCAAGGCAGAAAGCGGTTGGGGATGAAGTTGGAGAAATGAGCACGGGCCTGAGCTTAGGGCGATGGTAACTCCAGTGTGCCCTGGACTGTCCTGGCATGATTATTAATATTGTCTCCTTTGACTCTCAAAGGTGCCCAGGTGATTACAGTGATTCTGCATATATGGCATGGTAAACAGTTGGCATTTTATTTCAAATGGGCTGTGAAGTGTGTGGACAGTTTCGAGCAGGAAGTGACAGGATCTGACTGGCATTTGAAAGGATAATGACCAAGTCCTTGAAATACTCTTTTGACTCCTGCCCACACACCCCCACACACACACCCCGCTCTCCTCCACCGCCCTTTCAGTCTTCTCTGGCAGCTATTTCTCTTCTACAACCTTTAAATCTTGGAGTTTCTCCAAACTAGCGGTTCTCAACTGGGGGCGATTTCTCCCCCAAGGGACATTTGGTATTTTATCTGGAGATATTTCTGATGGTCACAACTGGACCGGATACAACTGGCATCTAGTGGGTAGAGGCCAGGGAGGCTGCTTACTATTCTACAATCCACAGAAGAGCCCTATGCAATAAAGAATTATCTGGCCCAAAATATCAGTACTGCCGAGGGTAAGAAACCCTGCAGCAGCTCAGCACCATCCAACAGGACTAGCATGGGAGCTGAATATGCAGTTTCACATTTGCTAGTAGTCACATTTTTAAATAGATTTTTTAGTTTTATTGAAATCTTACATGAACAATAAATTGGAAATACAATCGCATCAATAAACAAATTGTCACGGCTTTTTACATTTAAGCCAAACAAATTTTGTAGGGCAGATTTCAAAAAGGTGTGAAGTTAAAACAATTTAAAAACACAGTTAACCTACTTCTAGGAATGCAAAACATACAATGATAGGCTATTTTCAATACAAAAAAAAAAACACTTAAATTTGTTTGCTTTAATTTCTCAAAAACTATAGCCGGTCACGGTGGCTCACACCTATAATTCCAGCATTTTGGGAGACCAAGGTGGGCGGATCACCTGAGGTCAGGAGTTTGAGACCAGCCTGACTGACATGGAGAAACCCTGTCTCTACTAAAACTTCCAAAAATAGCTGGGCATGCTGGCACATGCCTTCTCAGCTACTCAGGAGGTTGAGGCAGGAGAATCACTTAAACCCAGGAGGTGGAGGTTGCGGTGAGCAAAGATCGCGCCATTGCACTCCAGCCTGGGCAACAAGAGCAAAACTCTATCTCAAAAAAAAAAAAACTAAGACAAAACACTAGCTTGTGTTTTTATTTACAGCATACTCCATACTCCTATGTAATCTATCCCAAATCCAAAAAAATTAAACTGTCCAAAACCAAAGGTCCTGCAAAATCATGATTTAGCAGTGTGCCCAGCTTGTTTTGAAGGTAAAATGAAGCCTGAAACAATAAAAGCATTGTAATCTCCAGAATAAGGGAACTCTGTAAGTCCAATAATGTCCAAGAGCATTTATAAAAAGAGGAAAAATAAAGACTTGAGTATATACACAGCAGTGATTTCTTCAGCCCAGTACAAATGGCACCAAATTGCTACTTAAGGATGAAACAGTAAAGCCAATTTTTTTAAAGAACGTAGATCTAGAGCCAGTTGTACCTTACCAGTATCATTTTCAAGCCCTTACTTATCTACTTCCCCTGTTGCCCATAAGTATCTTGACAAAATTCCTGGTTGTCATTATTGTAACCATAGTTACCAGAATAGTCACCACCTTGCTGAACCGGCTGCTGAGTGATGGGTTAGGAACCCCACTTCTGTTGTTGGTCTGACGATGCTTGGAACCATGTTGCTTGTACCCATCTGCCTTTCTCTTGCCTCCTACACTGTCCCCACCATTGCCCCAAGATCCACAGGAACCATGCCTCTTGCTGTTGTACAGGATCCCCTCTGCCACCTTTCGAGCCTCCCAAAGATGTCCCCTTGTGAATAGCCAACTCTACCTCTTGGAGGTGGTGCTCCCCTCCCCCTTGGTGGTGGTGGAGCACCTCACCCTCCCCTTCCTCCTCCTCTTCCTCTTACTGCATAGCCATCACCACAGCCGTAGTAGGGATCTTCATAGCCTCCACAATAGTCGTGATCATCATAACCACAGTAGTCATCATAGTAATCTTAGTATGTAATAGTAATCTGGAGGGCAGCCATATCCACCTCTCCCCCCACCACAACCTCTATCTCTAATTGGAAGTGGCATGCGAGGAAGAGGGTAATAGTAATAATCTTCATACACAGTGCTTCTGGAGGCTTGTCTAGCAGCTTAGCACTTTTTCCTTTTCCTGTCTGGTGGCTTGGCTAAGACAATTTCAATTTCTTCTCCTTCTATTTCTTTGCCATTCATTTCATCCATAGCCTTGACCGCTGCTCCTCTGTCTTCAAAATGAACAAATGCATAATCTTTCAACTTCTTCACTCTTTCGGGTTTTCCAAAAAATGACTTTTCCAATATTTCTTCTGTCACTGTAGTAGCCACATTTCTCACACACAAAACTTTCACCTTAGCCATGACTTCCAGATCTGGTTCTTCCGCAGGCTCAGCCCATTCAATTCTAACTACATTTCCCCATACTTTTACTTTTCCATCCATCAGCCGGCATCTGGCTTGTGCTGCTGACTTGTGATCCTCATATTAAAGGAAGCAGAACCCCTGATTCTTCTTTTTGTCATCTGGTTGATGATAGACAATAATGTCCACCAAACCCTCTGTGACTTTACTGAATTCTTCCAGAATGTTTTCTTTTCTTTCTTTCTTTTTCTTTTTTTTTTTTTTTTTTTTTTTTTTTTTTTTTTTTTTTTTTTTTTTTGAGACGGAGTTTCTGTCGTTACCCAGGCTGGAGTGCAATGGTGCGATCTCGGCTCACCGCAACCTCTGCCTCCTGGGTTCAGGCAATTCTCCTGCCTCAGCCTCCTGAGTAGCTGGGATTACAGGCACGCGCCACCATGCCCAGCTAATTTTTTGTATTTTTAGTAGAGACGGGGTTTCACCATGTTGACCAGGATGGTCTCGATCTTTTGACCTCGTGATCCACCCGCCTTGGCCTCCCAAAGTGCTGGGATTACAGACGTGAACCACCATGCCCGGCCCAGAATGTTTCCTTTAGTCTTATTCTTCGGAATGGATCCAACAAAAAGTCTGTTGTTTGCCACAGAAATGCACACTCCAAGGTGTTTACCAGGGTGAATTTCATCGTTGTCAGTTTCACAGCTTCCTGTGCAGCTTCCTCTCCACAGAAGGTGATAAAAGCATACCCTCTATTCTGACCAGACAGTGGATCCATCATAAGACATAGATCCTGCCTGGCGCAGTGGCTCATGCCTGTAATCTCAGCACTTTGGGAGTCTGAGGCAGGTGGATCACGAGGTCAGGAGATCGAGACCATCCTGGCCAACAAGGTGAAACCCTGTCTCTACCAAAAATACAAAAATTAGCTGGGCACAGTGGCGAGTGCCTGTAGTCCCAGCTACTCAGGAGGCTGAGGCAGAAGAATTGCTTGAAGCTGGGAGGCGGTGGTTGCAGTGAGCTGAGATAGTGCCACTGCACTCCAGCCTGACAACAGAGCAACAGTCCATCTCAAAAAAAAAAAAAAAAGAAAAAAGAAAAAAGAAAGACATAGATCCCAAATGGGTCCAGCCTTCTCAAAAAGGGGCACCAACTCATCCTCATTTAAATTTCTTGGCATTTCCCCTATGAACACCTCTGTTCCAATTCCAGGTTGCACGCCAGAGTACACACTGTCTGGTGGAGGACCACCATACTTCCTCTGGCCTGTGGTTACATCTGGAGTATAACTGGTTCTCAAAAGCAAGGCCTTAATCTTCACTTCCTCAGGTCCCTTTGCGGACCTTGCTCCTCTGTTTCTCTCTCTGCCTGTAGGTCTTCATAACTCCACATAATAATGCACTTGGGGCTGGGCGCAGTGGCTCACGCCTGTAATCCCAGTACTTTGGGAGGCCAAAGCGAGCGGATCACGAGGTCAAGAAATTGAGACTATCCTGGCCAAGATGCTGAAACCCCATGTCTACTAAAAATACAAAAATTAGCAGGGCATAGTGGCGTGAGCCTGTAGTTCCAGCTACTCAGGAGGCTGAGGCAGGAGAATCACTTGAACCCCGGTGGCAGAGGTTGCAGTGAGCCGAGATCGTGACACTGCACTCCAAACTGGGCCACAGAGTGAGACTCCATCTCAAAAAATAAATGCACTTGGTTCTAGAACAGACAAGTAATTCAATAAAAAGAATCACCAAAAATCTTTGAAGGGTCAAAAAATACGGAACACTTCACGAATCTGCATGTCATCCTCACGCAGGGGCCATGTGAATCTTCTCTGTATCGTTCTAGTTTTAGTATATGGTGCTGCAGAAGCGAGCACCAGTAGTCACATTTTTTAAAAACCTAAAAATAAAACAAGGGAAGTTAACTTTACTAATTTATTTAATCCAATACTTATAAAATATTATCATTGCAACAGGTAATCATAACAAAAAATATCAATGAGATAGTTGACATTTAAAAAAATTCTGGTATGGACCGGGCACGGTGGCTCACGCCTGTAATCCCAGCACTTTGGGAGGCCGAGGCGGGTGGATCACGAGGTCGAGAGATCGAGACCATCCTGGTCAACATGGTGAAACCCCGTCTCTACTAAAAATACAAAAAATTAGCTGGGCATGGTGGCACATGCCTGTAATCCCAGCTACTCAGGAGGCTGAGGCAGGAGAATTGCCTGAACCCGGGAGGCGGAGGTTGCAGTGAGCCGAGATCGTGCCATTGCACTCCAGCCTGGGGAACAAGAGCGAAACTCCGTCTCAAAAAAAAAAAAAAAATTCTGGTATGTATTTCATACTGCACATAGCAATTCAGACCAGCCACATTTCAAGTACTTGATAACCCATAGGGGGCCCATGGCTATTACACTGATGGCATACCTCTGGGCTCAGTACCAGATAATATATCACAATGTTTAAGAGTTGTATAATTGGCTGGGTGTAGTGGCTCACTCCTGTAGTCTTAACACTTTGGGAGGCCAAGGTGGGAGGATCACTTGGACCCAGAAGTTTGAAACCAGCCTGGGCAACATAGTGAGATCTCACCTCTACAAAAAAAAAAAAAAAAAAAAAAAAAAAAATTAATTAGCTGAGCATAGTGGGGTGCACTTATAGTCCTAGGTATTCAGGAGGCTGAGGTGGGAGAATCACTTGAGCCAAGGAGTTCAAGGTTACAGTGAGTTATGATAGCACCACTACACTCTAGCCTGGTGACAGAGAAACTTTATTTTAAAAAGAAGGAGGAGTGCAGTATCAGGTAATAAAGCCTGAGGTTTTGGCTCTGCAACCGAACTGCTTTGTTGAATCCCAGCCTGTTGACCTTCGGTAGAGTTACTCTACCTCTCAGCCTTTGTTTCTTCACTTGTGAAGTGGGGATTATAATATTAGTACTTCATAGGGTTGTCAAGGATTAAATGAGTTAATACCAAACGCTTAGAATAGTTCCAGTTTTATAGTAAGTGCTCACCAAATGTTACATATTTAGCTAGGCCCTGCTCTGTCTCCATCCACATTTTCTGAGTGATCCCATTTGCTCCCATAACTTTAAATGCCATCAATTACCTAATGACTTCCACATTTGCTATTCAGCTGAGACCTCTTTTCTGAACTCCAGGCCCTCTATTTAACTGTGCACTATATTTTGATGATCCAAGACATCTCACATGTAACGTCCACCACAGAGGTCCACCTTGACCTTCTCCTGCAAATCTGCTCCTCTTCCAATCTTTGCTATCTCAGCCAATTACATAGGGCAGATATTTGGGAGGCTTCCTTGACTTCCGTCTTTCCAGGAAATACATGGTGCATGGATTGTGTGACTTCTCTGTTGGTTGAGGTTTCCACTGACTGGCATGTGCCCACAGAAGTAATGTGAGTGCTGAGGGCTTTTGGAATGAGAGTCCATAGTTGTGGCTGGGGCAACCACCAGGGCTTCCTGGTACTGATCGCTCACAACAGTTGTGCCTGCTAGTTGTGTATTTCTAAGTCTGTCCGTGTGTATATGTTGCATACCTGGCCAAATGGTTGTGTCTGTGGATGTGTGTGGATGGAGGCATAGGAACGTTCTTTCCCACCAAGTAATCCAGTGTCCCCCAGCAAGCACGACTTGCTATGGGAATGGAAGCAGTTATTCTCAGATGACCAATCCCATTCTCCCACTTGAAAGAGTGGCTTCCCTCGGGGTCCAACCTGGTGTTGGGTAAAAAGGAAAAGATTTCTCTCATCTAACCCAGCACGCCAAGACCTCCTTTATCTCCTCTTCCCTGCCCAAGAAGTCCACCTCCAGGATGTTCCCATGTAGCTTCCTTTCAAGCCTCGGGAGCTTCTCTGAGGTACCCGGCCCATGAGAATGACAGGAGAATCGGAGATTTCTTCCCCTGAGTGCCTCTGGCTAAGGACAGGGCAGCTAGAGCCCTCCCTGAGTGAACACTGTAGTGTATTGTCAGAAGCAGGGGCCCCAGGAAGAGAGGCTGGAGGGTGTCTTCCCGTTTCCTACCTCTCTGAGGCCCTGCCATAGCGTCTAGAAGGAGCCCTTTCCTGGCCTCCTGGCTGCCCAGGACAACTCCAGTGCACTGGGAACTGATTTCCAGGGTCAACCCACTACTGTCACCTCGGCCAGAGCCCAGCTTCCTCAGATGCTGTGGCCACAACTTCAGCCGTCCCTTTTGGGGGTGACCGCCACCTCTCACAAGAGTGAGTGTCTTCCCCTTGCCCCCACCACACTATTCCTCTTGTTTTGGGCCCCTATGGAGGAGCTGCCGGGGAATTTTTGCCGAGGATCAGGCCACAGCCACCTTGACTAACCTCGACAGACCTGATGTGTTTGCTGCCTCCAGAACTCCCGGAGGCAGGAGCGCGCGGGCTTGACCCTTGCGGAATCCCAGGCATCGGAGGGGCGCCTCTACAGGCCGGCAGCGCCCAGGAGACCCAGGGACAGACTGGGACTCCTGGCTTCCCCGCGGGGCCTCCCAGGGCACCTGCCCAAGGCCACCCAGCGCGCGGCAGCCGAGACAGCAGAGCAGAGCCGGACCTCCCAGCCGTCGGTGAAGGCGGCGACCGCCCAGGGCCTTCCCACGGCTCGGTGGCGCGTCACCGCGGGGGCGAGGGGGCGCCTGGGCGCCCCGGGCTGCGGCGCAGGAAAGGGCCCTGGGAAAGGGCGGCGGCGGTGGCGGCGCCCCCGAGGAGGGGCCGGGGCGGGGCCGGGGCGGGGCCCGACTTCCAGACTGGGAGCCCAAGCCGCGGGGCCGAGACCAGGCAGCCTGCGTTCGCCATGAAACGACCCAAGGAGCCGAGCGACTCGGACGGCGAGTCCGACGGACCCGTCGACGTGGGCCAAGAGGGCGAGCTGAGGTAAGGGCGGGGATGCAGGGACTGAGCTCGCAGTGGGAGGGCGAGCGGCGTGGGGAGCAGGCCGACGGGCTCGCCGTGCAGGCTGGCCAGCCCCTGCAGCACCTCCCGGGCAGAGGCAGGTGAGCGCAGGGGCCGCAGGTGTCGGCGTGCGGGATGTGCGGGCCGTGCCGTTACACGCACGAGTGCCTGGATCCTGCGCGCTCTTGGTCGTGCAGGGCTGGGGATGCTGGAGGTAGAGGTCAGCTTGGGGGTCTGATGGCCAGTGGGCGATCATCTGTTGTTGAAGTGGCCTAGGGGAGGCCATTGGCAAGGGGTTTTCCCTGGAGATCCTGGAAAACTCTCATAGACGGATGGTACCCCAGCCCCTGTCTGGAATCTGCTGACGATGTAGAGTAAACATTCTTTCCCAGTTTTACCCTAGTTTGGATGCAGTTTTCATGTAGTCCACAAAATACCTCAAAAAGAAGACAATTTGTCCTCTTTTGAGCAAATTGGACCTTGGATTTAGGGTCTTAGTATTGAAGAAAATAAGAGACTTCAAGGCCCTAGCCTCCAATTCCAGTGCTCCTCCTGTGGTGACCCCCTGCTGCCAGTGTCTTTCAGCTCCTGGTAGGTAGTCTGACCTGCTTCAAACCTGAACAAACTGCACTTGTGTAGTTCTGCTACCTCCCAGTTCTGTGAACTGCCTAAGCGTCAGTTTCCTCATCTGTTAAATGAGCATGAATAACAGAGCCAAATTCGTAGAAGTATTGGGAAAACCAAATGAGGTAAAGCATGTCAAGGGCTTAGCACAGCACATGCTTAGGCACACACCAGGTGATCCCCAGCATCCTGAAAGAGGTGCAGGGCTGACTGGGAGTCTGCAGACCTGGGTCCCAGCCCCAAATCTGTCACCAACTCACTACGTAGTCTATGGGCCACTGGTTTCCCTGCCAGAGTCTATTCTGAGTCTGTTTCTTCATCAGTGAAATAAAGACAGTAGTGGGAAAGAGAGAGATACTTTATTTCTCCTGGCTCAACCAGACCTGAGTCTCTAGAACAGAATTGGAGGGGAATTCCGTTAATTCTTTTTTTTTTTTTTTTTGAGACAAGGTCTCACTCTGTTGCCCATCATGCTGGAGCACAGTGTCATGATCATAGCTCATGTCAGCCTTGATCTCCTGGGCTTAAGTGATCCTCCTGCCTTGGCCTCCCAAAGCATTGAGATTACAGGCATAAGGCAATGTGCTGGCCCCAGTTGATTCTTAGGATGTTTTTGAGGACATTTAGTAATTTTCATGCTCTTCTGTTTTCTGAGATCCAGGGATCCTGCCTCAGTCACAAAACTGGGGAAAATGCCATAACAGATATTCCTCTTGCATCCTGTACATTTCATTTTAGGGTGTATAATACAATTTGCTATGCAACATATTAGCCTTTCTTAATTGTTTGGCAGAAACTGCTATTTAGAGAAGCAGTTCTCTTAGCCTGTGCCTGTTGAGGGCCAGCAAAGGGCACAGTATCATGTGGTGGTGGTGGAGTGTGGTCTCAAATTCAATGGCAGTGGGTCTTCATAGATCAGGGGCACAAAATTAATGCCAGAGAACTCAGCGGATCAGAGCTGGCTTCTGTCCTCCATGAGTCTGCAGCCCAGTCAGTGACCTGCCGGGTCATGCAAACACCATGGACAGGATGGAAAAGAGACAGACTGTGGGCTGTGAGGGCACCTGAGCAAGGAGAGGTCACTCTCAACGAAAGATGTCAAGGAGGGCGTCTTGAAGATGGCATCTGGACAACAGCTCACAGGGAGGCATAAAGGATCAGTGGGCGGTTTTTTCCTATACCTACAGCATTTCCTATATGTACAGAGCCCATTTTTAGACACTGTTCTCAGAGGAGCAGACCCCTCTGAAGAGAGAAAGCAGTTGGACATCTGGCGGAGGCTGACTTATAGACGCCCCTTTGTAGCACTCACCAAAGGGCCCTCCCCCGAGAAG